AATAGCCGCTATTATAGAAGCCATCATCCTTGATCGCCCAGAATGAGATCTTAAATGGAGAGCTGGGTGAAGGGATAAAGCTAACCATAAAAATGATAAACTCAATTGAAAATATAAGCAGCAAAATGATTCCAAATGCTTTTTTAGATGTAGACCTGGAGAGGGCTGAGATTGGCATCGTTCAAATTGTAAATATCCAAATCGGGCTTCGAAAGATGCTCAAATAATAAATATATATTAAAATATTTTATCAACCCAATATCTACGGCCATACACACTGGAAAACACCGGGTCTCGTCCGATCCCCGAAGTCAAGCCAGTGCTGGCGCAGTCAGTACTATGATGGGTGACCGCATGGGAATACTGCGTGCTGTAGGTTCTATCTTTTTCTGTTTTTTCACAGCGCTAATTTTAATTGTTTACTTTTCAAAATGCACATGTGCGTTCTTTTCCCAACCGGTACTCCGCCTGTTTTGATGCTTATTGAGACGAAGGCAGAATAGTAGTGTACATGTTACGTAATTAAAAATAATTGCGAATGGAACCTGACTATTGAAGACCAGATGCTGGTCACATGCAAAGTTGGATTTTATTTAACAAGCTTGTTATTCTTGCCTTGACGAGCAAGGCGTTTGGACGAAATCATATTTCGGCCATTCAAATGTGCTTCATATGTTCGAATGACCCGGCTTTGCGGACCTAATTCCCTTGAAAAGATGAAATCAATGTAGACTTTAACCCAGGATTTGTGCGAAAAATACTGGGGCTCAGAATAAAACTCTGGAGCTATTCCTGTTACCTTGGGCAAGTAAATCCAAGGAATCTAGTGGACGTAAAGGAACAAAATAGCTTACCTGACTAAAGTCGTGGTGTTCATTGTGATAGCCTATGTTTAGGAAAACAAGGTTTAAGCTTCCGTAATAAGAGTATGTTTCTTGACCGTCCACCCATGTAAAGTGCTCCTGAATAAAGTGTGCAGCCGCTGGATGAATGGTATACCCAAAGTAAAATGAGAGCCAATAATAGAGAATAAACGAGGCATTCCATTCGTAAAAGCGATATAATGCCATTTGGAAAGCGATCACAAAAATTACATTGACAACCTCGGCAGCAGAGGGTACTTTTTTCAAAGATGCGCCTCTGATAGCATACATTGCTGGATAAATAAGAAGCCATATCAACTTTTTGATAGGAGACCCGCGGATCAGATGATATTCAATTTCAAGCGGCAAATCTGGATCTTTTCCAACCACACCTAGCGAGATAAATTAACAGATGTGCACCTTGCCTTGAAAAGCATGATGATCCAAATGATACCGTCTAAAAGATGCCGAAATAGGGATGGGAATGGGCAAATTACAAAGAAAAAGGACCATTGTATTGAGCAAAGAATTTGGAAATATCAAATCATGAGTGGCCTCGTGAATAATGACGCCCATAAGTTGGCAAACCGTTCCGCCAACAAAAAACGACAAGAAAACGATAATTGGGTAAGAAAGATGGGTCAAAAAATGTGCAACCATCCCATGTATGATGAGAGCAAATATAAACACCAAAAAAGTCAAATGGCAATTGCCATAAAGATGTCTGACTTCGGGGTGGGATTCCAGAATCGCAATCCGACGCTTAGCGTGCGGTTCGTCATATTCGACGTCTTCAGCCGGACGTTCGGAAATACACGGATCCGATTTCTTCCATTTGCCAATAAATTTAAATGGCTCTCTGGCATCCAAAAGAGTTTCCACGGCGGACATTTTGTAAATTTGGGGAAAGGCGGCCTTCCATCTTTAAACATTAAATAACTGAAAATTCAAAACTGATCAACGTGTTTGATTGGAAATATTTTAAAATCTTTTTAAATGCTTTGAAATATGATTGGTCCGATTGCAAACCAAGGAACGAAAGCTAAATAATGAATTTCCATTAAAACTTTCTTAAAATCTGCAGCATCTACCATGTCGGATAGCAAAAGATGCCTCACATCCCACAACTGCCCCATAACGGACCATTGCGACATGCAAAGCAAGAAATGCGTCCGCAATTCGAAGCCTGGCAGTCCATGTAAACGCTTTGTGAGGGCGCATACATGTGGGGATGGCATGCGATGCAATTCTATTTCTTCCAGATGTGTGTCGGACAAGGAGCCGATGTGGCTGCTCTCAATGCTCGGGTTTGCCTCATATAACGGATATGGGTCCAGTGGCTGTGGACGAGGCGATCTTAAAGCCTCTTCCGAGGCTTTACTCAATGGGTGTCATTCAATGTCATGCCATTCCTCGCTTGATTGTGCTGCTAATGAATTTTGTGGAATTTTTGTTGATGAAAACGGAAAAGAGCTCCCTTTTAATCCTAGCCCTCAATCTGATGGAGAATATCTGTCTGTTGTGGCGGTGGGCAATGAAGCAACTGAGCGCCGATATTCCATGGTCAATGGGTTCTGCATTCCCAGAAGATCGCTGAACCAGTATTGCACCTCAAGCGCGATGTGTGCCGAGGGGCTTGGATGTGATTTAGAGTCCTCTTTGAAGTGTCGCATCCATTGCTACTCACAGCAAGATTGCTCCAGCTCTTCGCTCCTCGAAGCCTTTCCGGGCATATTCAACGCGTCGAACCGGCAGTTCCTTACAAACGGGCAATGTTTACCGCTCGACGGTTCGTTTGAGAATCCTGGCTTTTGTGCGGGTTTCATCAAATCTTCAGATCTCATGCATTCGAACTCAAATTTATCGGCCACATCTCCTCTTTCCGATAATATCCATGGAAAGTACTTTTTGAATTTACACCCGTATTACATTCTATTTGGCTCGCTATTCATATTGGCCATCGTGGTATTGTCCTCTATTTGGTGTTGTGGAAACAACCGCGAGGCTAGTCGGATCGAAAAGATCCGAAGGCAGCAGAAGCGCTTTGTCAGACTTGCTAGATCTGGGGCCGCTCCATCATCAAATCTTTTTACCTCGCCATTTAGAGATGACCAATACCAGCCGCCCTCCGCATCGTATCCCTGGAATAATCCTTCCCGGAATTAACTGCCGTTGCCACGGTGCTAATTAAGCGCGCTTCCGATTCCATTGCATTCGATCTGATCCCATTCTGCGGTATTAACTGGCCCAAATAAAGCGAATTTTATTTATTATCTGGCCAATATCCCTTCTTAATTGATCTAGTTGACGGTGGTACATATGTTGGCATTATGCCGAGTCTAGTTGTGGTAACAATAACCACAAGGGCCTACCTGAAATTATACTGCCATGCTAAGATGTATTTCCGCTCTCGGCATCCGATTCCGAGCTTTTCCATTGCACTAGATGTTGTTTTGAAAAACGCATCCCAAGACGCAAATTTGGACGCGTGGTTGACCAAATTCCGGCCAAGGGCACCCAGAAATTGCTCGGCAGTTTCCAGGTGTGGGGGAATTGGTGTTGGAACATGTGGTCTCTTATAAAAGCTTTGCCTGTGGGCGCGCTGTGCAGCGATTTCGGCCTTATCAGAGTCAGAGCGCTTTAAAAGCGCTGCAAATCTTATCTTGCTAAACTTTGGCAGCATGTCCGACGCTGGTTGGGAAGAAAACCGCCTTGGACGATGAGCGAAAATGCCCATTTTGACAAAAATTAAAATTGCAATTTTATTAATTAATGGATATGGTTTTCTTCAGTTACTTCGATTGGGGGCAGCATCGGCTCAACTACTGGTATCGGCAATGGGATCGGTGTGGACGCATGTAGCTTAAACCCAAAGATCTTGGGAATGTAATAGTCGGTGTGTTTGGATTGAGGCCGCGAGTTTTTATATTGCTGGAAAAAGAGGTGCGGAAACGACGTGCCAAAATAAGCACCGTCAATATCTAAAATAGTTACCACACATGGGTATGCGCTTACGGTGGAATTGCGTGCTTTTCGGTCGATAAATATCGTCGCAGCTCCCACAATATAGGACAACATACGATTTTTCAGGGAGGTCGGACAAGCCAACCGGAAGCAGGGCAAATCCGCGGCAAAATACCCGTGGGCAGCAGCCGAACGCGCGATCCTTCCACTTGGCATACATTCTGGCCATTCCAGCTGACGTCGTCAAATACCTGGCATGAATTAGCCCATACAAATGCAGAGAAGACGCATGGATCTGCTTTTTTAGGCGGTATTCCTCGTGCGAGCCTTGAATCCGTTTTTTCGATGCATTGGCCTCGCCCTCTTCGGAGCCACAGGACCGGGAGGATGTATTCATGGTTATCAATGATGTACTACGTCCAGACGATTCAATGCTTAGTGAATCTGACGATTCGTCATTGCTGATTGAGGTGGAGCCCGAACAGGATGAAGAATCGAAAATGGATGCAACTTCTTCAGAATCCAAGGTGATCCTGTCCAACGCACGTTGAAAGTGCTGGACAGATGCAGGCAGTCCAGTCAAGTTAAAGCGATCCATGATGTACTCTTCTTCTATTTCAATAAAGTATCGATGCTCCGGCTGGGATAAAAACCATTCGATCCATGGTGAAGGCCCTTCAATGTCTGAATCGTCGTGGCCCTGTTGCTGGTAGTTTTGATAATTGCTCGGCTCTGCGCATTCTATGAGGGTAAGCCGCAACATATGGGATACCTTTACTGCATCCAGAAGCTACAGACTGGGCCATCATCATAAAGCTTTAAATTTTTTTTTATCTTTAACTATTTTGACCCTAGCCCCAATGAAATCGGCCGCTTTTACTCGAGTTTATATTGCCCGTTTGAGGGCAGGTAACCCTCGCCGCTGCAAATGGCATTTGTTGATGATCATGCCACACATCTTGATGGGGCATGTGCAACCATTAATCTAGAAATCAATTGAACAGATTTAAACGACACCCAAACGACACTTAAACGACATTTAAACGACACTTAAACGACACCCAAACGACAGGTAAATTACTGCTACAGTAAGTTTTTGCTTGCACAAGGAGTGTGCACATGTGTCTTGGGCGCGATTTTTGTTCCATACTACGTGCTTGGCTTTCTGATAATCACAAAAGCAACCAAATTTGTGCCTTTAATTTCGGCTACATCCCATTCCATGGGGTCAAAGGTGAAAATCGAATGCCTCCGCCTTCCCAAAATGAGAGATATCTATGCCACACACCGGGCTTATTAAAATGGGTTTGCCGCGAAAAGGCTTTATTAAAATGGGCCTACCGCGAAAAGATCCCCATTCCAACCCATTATGTGCAACTAAAAGTTTCTACATCTACTTGCTTACCTCTCAAAAACAAACTTGTTTAAAAAAGCCCCAATGATATAAAAATATCCATACTGGCATACGGTGTCGTTATGGTTACCATCTTCAAAGACACTCCATTGTTTTTTCTTGTCTTCAGAACAAATGCTAGACACTTTGTTGGTGAAACTATAAGGAATGGCACTAAACATCTCCTTTGAAAGGATTGAATACAGGCTTTTGGAATGTTTCTCTCCCAAAATCATGGAGTCCATATATCCGGACAAGATTAGAACCGGAATGAAAAGATGTGCATCCTTTTCTTTTTGCGAAATCTTCCTACACGACTCTTCATTATTCCAATTGTCTATAATTATAAATTTTTCGATCAATTTCCCAAAGAAATCAAGGTCCATCAGTAGTACGCTTGGAGCAAGCTTCGATATGGAGAGAAAGGGATTTTCGATGATTATCGCCGAAATTTCATCGGGTTGCAGAGTGGCGGCTAATCCCAAAGCCACTGCGGACCCTATCGACTGTCCATATAAAATTATGTTTCCTTTCGGCGAAATTGTCTTAGCAAGCGAGAATACCGCCTGAAGCTTAAATAACCCAGCCCCATACCTGTGCATCTAAGAGTAGCCCTTTTTCTGAGGGACTTCCGCCACTATCGCCGTAGCCCCGGTACGAGAGAAGAAGCACGTTTACCTTTAGCTTTCCCACGATATTCGCCGCAATGGGAATCCTTAACTCCTACCGTATTTAAAAAACAAAGCTAACATAGTCGCCAGCATTGGCATGGAAAAAAATAAGGATTGGCAAGCTTTCAGGACATTCACAGGCGTTTCCATCGAGTGAATTGAAGGGGAGCCAATAGACCTTGATGTTGACAAGATCTTTTGTTTGGATCGAAATTTTCACGCTTTTGCTAAACGACAGTGCATCAATGGAGTCTCCGACGTGGTATGATAAAATCGTGTTCTCATCATAGGCGAATCCCGCTTTATCTGGAGTGCATGGAAAGGGGTGGTAAATTTTGGGTAGTTTGGGGATGTAAATAAAAGACCTTTGAAGGCAATAGGCCAGCACGAAAAACACCACGAAAAAAATGGCCATTGAGATGAAGCCAGCTACCAACAAGGCCATGGGAAATGTGGGAACGCCTGTGCGATTTTTATTTATAAAAATATCAAGAAATTCGGCATATTTAGCGGTAGTACCAAGCAAGGTCTTGTGCAAAAGTAAACTTTATCCTCCCCACATTGATCCAATGGCCACGTTAATATATGGGGAAATTGGGATCAATCTCTCGAGACCAGGCCAGAAGGCCTCCCTTGAGATTGTATACAGAAACTTTATCTGAGAGCCTCAGTATGTGGTTCGAGACGTGAATAGAGTCAATCCCCCGGCGACACATTACACATATGCTATGTAGGGGGGGAGTGTCCTTAAGGTTTGAGAGGACTTTTTCAATGTTGATGAACAGCTCATCAATGGACCTCATCCTTAAAATCACATTTGAAGGAATGTTGACAGCGCTTCGCAAATAGCCGATTTTAAAATGATGGGAGGGCCGTACGTCCAGTAAAAGTAGGGGACCCGTCACACCAACGGCCAGGGCAGAAACAGACAACTCTTTAAATCCCACATTTTCGAGGGGAATTTCGCACGATTGCAAAGGCAGTTCAACCAACGGCGCAAACGGGATCGAACACCCAAGGCAATCAACTCGCTTATTTCTCAATTGAATGCACCTTGACAATCCCTTTTTTCCATCAAAAAAGAGCATTTTTTGGCAATAATTCGGAGAGCCCCTCAGAAGATTGATGACCTCCAGCGCTTGGAGATGACCAATAACGGAGGTTATCGGTCCCAAAACACCGCCGTCGTTGCATTTCACCACAAATTCAGACGATGGCGGGGTAGGAAACAGGCATCTATAACATGGGGCATTGGAGTCTTCCTCTGACCAAAGAAATGTAATGATCTAATGGAGAATCATAAGCTGCCTTTTATCATACCTGCCCTTCCCATCCGATCGCACTTGCTGAAACCAAATGCTTCTTTGCACGCTTACAAGCATCATTTAAAAGATAGCGAGTGGGGATGTTGTCAGAGGCATCGCATACAACATCATATCTATTTACGGTCAAAAAAGCTGGTTACCCCTCAATTAGGCTGGACACATTTTCAACATCGAGCCATGCTTCAATCGGCTCAATAATACAATCCGATTGATGTCTAACGAAAAGACCAAGCAAAATTACTCTCTTAATGCAGTGGCAGCGGAATACACCTTACTTTGTCCCACTCTGGATTCTGTATGAAGAGTCTGTCTGTGCAAATTGGTTGCTTCAACAAAATCATCATCAACTAGGCCTATTTTTCCTAAAGAAAAGCCATCAAATATACCGATTCCAGAACAGACAAGAGAAAGGGCCAATGGAGATCCAATGCCGCCAGCACCCACAACCAGCACAGATGCTTTTTTTAAGCAGGCTTGCCCTAAATAAATAAGCCGAGATGGAATCACCCGTGATTTCGAAATCTTGCAGTATTATTTGGCGTCCATATCTTTCGATCTCCGTTTTGGTGAGGCCAAAATCATTAATTAAGGAATTTTGCATTTCAAAAAAAGAAATTCCAACCCTAGCTTATTTTATTGAGACCATGTGAAGCCCTTTGAATTTCCAATTCCAAGTTGTCTACTTCGGCCTCCAAAATAGCTAGTTGGTCATCTGTTCGGATAAACTCCATATCGGATAGGGAGAGTCTGGTCCGAAGGAACTTGATTTCGTCTTCAAAATCATCCTTCTTTTGTAGGGTTGATGCCTTTTGTTGTTCAAATTGGGCATACGTTTCCTGTAGACGATCAATTGGAAATTGGAACAATGGAATTTCCTTTATCAGTGCAATTATTTCTGGCGTGAACTTTGATCCCGGTTGGTTAGAAACCTTTGCATAAAGTTGCTTTAGCCTCAACGCGGACGAGAAATATGAATTTTGGATTTTCGACTTTTCTAGCATCGACTCGTCGTCGATGTGCATGTCTGTGAATCGCTTGAAGCTAAACAAGGCAGATTCTGCAGAAGTGGCTTCTCTGTAATCGGTCAATGGTAAGCTTGCAATTGCATTGTGCGACCAAGTTGCGGTTATATCTGCCATCAATGCAGCGACAAAGTTTGTGGACTCCTCAAAATCGGATGTTTTTTTCCCAGAGTCTGATTTCCTATGCATGGTCGAAGTCATGGTCAACTATAAAATTTATTTTTTAATTTTACAAATCTTCAATTTACATTCTAACTTAAACGGTTGGGGAGGGCGACCTTGACGCCTGATAGCATTGTTGGTGGTGGTGGCCGTAGAATTCATCGTGAATCTGATCGCGCGCCAATGCTCTGAATAGTTATCTAGCGTACAAATGGGGTACCTTATGTATGATGACGTGCCTTGGACGTCTTCCGACAGCAAAGGGCCTGTTGATCTAGAATAAGAAAACTTGTCCCCTTACGGCATGGCTTTACAAAAAAAAAATAACATCCGCCGTTGCTTTTTATTTAGAAAAAAGTAATTGATGGACCATCTATAGGGAAGAATGAATAATTGACATACATGCATCGCCTATGTTCTTCTCCAAAGGGATCTGAATCGACGTCTGGAATGTAGGAGAAAATCTGACAATCCTTAAAGTGGATGACTTTATCTAAGCAGCCCCAAAATTGCTGACTAAAATCCTTCATCTGATACATATTTGAAGTAAGGCCGGCGTTGAATAGAGTGGTATCGACAGACTCGATTATCGGATACATGCCTCCTTTCTGTTCGATAAAATTTTCCATCGTCAAGTCACTAGGAAAGATAAAAATCTAGTGCCACTTGCCTGAAGTCATAGTCTGGAAATATCTGGTTGAGACATGCGATCAAGTGATAAAGGACTCGAGAGGACGAATATCGGGCAAGTGAGGTTTTGGCAACCTTTTGCTGCCGCAAGTTTATGTCATCTTCTGATTTTATTTTCTTGTACAGCTTTTTGTCTTGGCCAGCAAATTTACCTGGAAAATGAGATATCATGGACATACACGAATATGCCTCGACTCGACCGTAAACCCTGCTGCTATCGCTAGTATCCACATGGGAGAGGAAGTAGTTTATTGGATTCAAAGTATCAAGCTCCAAGTACCTCATTGAAATTTAAAAACAATTAAATAATTTCTGGTAATGGCCATGTTGCGCTATTGATTGAATCAAAATTTGATCATCAGTACATCTGCTCTCCCCAATTAAATTGCGCACATCGGCAAATAATTAAGCTGCGGACCCAGGTTAATTTGATTTAATTTAATTTAATTTGGGTTAATTCAACTCGATTCAATTCAATTAATAGCCTATGTGCGTAATAATACAACCTTTAATGAGATTTGTAAACTTTCATTGCTCAAACGAGATTGATTGGATGATCGGAAGCGGAGAATTTTCATCTTCAGACAACGGGAGCTTCCTACGCCATTTTGTTGCCGAACATACCTGGAAATGGAGCCGAGAATGGATTGCGGATCGATATTATCAGAGAAAAGCGAGCAGTTTGACAGGAAGATCCGGCTTGTTGAATCGACATCGATGCTTGGGACTCGTTTATATTCGGGGCCATTTTCTCCATTTCCATATTTAAGGCAATATGCCAGCAGATCTTCTTTTGTTTTCCGCTTTGAAAATATGGTGCATATTTCTTTGGAAATCTTTCTGTCAATCAGCAGGCCATACCTCAATTTCTTTCATCGAAAACTCCTGCTGAAGAAGAGCGTACTGGATGTGCACTTGCGATGCAAGAAGCATCAATTCTTCCTCTACCTCCTGCACTTCCTACATTGCACTGAGGGGCGATGCCCATACATCGAACGCCGCCAAAATCAGCCTTTCTGTAGCTCTGGTGGCAGAGGAGAGCTTTCTTTCGAGGGATTGCACTTGATCTTCAATTATGTGCACGTTTCTGGAAAGATCCTCTAGCTTTCCGGCGAGCTTTGCTTCTGGAGTCATGCGTAAGAGGGTTACTTGCTTTTGCACAAGACGTTCGTATTTTTTCCTCAGCTATTGTTAGATGGTAATGAAAGTGGCCTCACTAACCCCAGCAGCCAAACTGGACAGCTTTTTTGTGCCACTTGCACACTTTTTGATGTTGACAATATTCTAAAGGCCAGGCAATTTGCATACCTGCTGCGTCACTTGCTTCATGCGCAATGAAAAGGCCTTCATTGGCATCATTGCCATTCGCTTGACATTTGACGCCAATTGTTGCCGCGCAGCAATCAGCACAGCATATGTTTCGTGGCATTTTTCAACTTGGGCATGAATGTTGCTACATTGTAAGCCAAATCGACGTACGGATATTCGACAAAGATTGCATTGCACTCCAAAAGATGCATCTCTTTTTTGGCTTGCATTTTTATCCATTTGTACCTAAATCATTTAGCACTTCGTGCATCATAACTTTGCATGAAAATGGGCTTTCAATGTGGAAAGAGACTTTTGGGAGTGTCTTGATTTGCATAATAAATCCGCAATTGCATGGTGATGCAGCGAATTTCGCTATAAACGTCAACCATGCGCACGAGACACTTACCCAAAAATGCCTTGCAAACAAGGGCTCTATAGGCGTGTCCATGTCCATGTTCGAGTCCACATTGAGCGACATTGATTAATCAAATAATTTGCACTTGGCGAATTTTTTATTCCCAATTCCCATGGCCAGCGAATTATCGAAGAGGAAGAGTAACTTTGCATTTTTATGCGTTTTTTTGTTTTAGAACGCCGGTTGGAAATTGAAAAATCCCTGACAGAAAAGCCGGCAACGTTTCCAGACCTGCTCGATCCTGTTTCGTTTGCCGCTTCACGAGCAGCAGAGATTGAAACCCTGCTGAACGCAATGCGGGACTCTAGACTTGCATCTTCCAAAAGGGTGTTTCAGAGGCTTCCAAAACACCTAAGGAGAAGAACGGCAAGCCATGCCCCAAAAAGGGTACCCCGGCGGCATCGTCATGCTTCGTTGCTAGAGGTAGCAGTTAGTTTTTGCTGATTTACAGGCTGCGGCCAATGTGTCGCACATCAAGAAGCGTAACGACAAGGCAGAACCGGCTTTGGTTGCTTCCATCCCACATTCCAACACATCAAATGAAGCTATTGATCAAAGTCAACTAGGCAGCACGTTTGGCGGAAGCCCTCATAAGGCCCCTCATCCAAGACTCTCGCGTAAATCTCAACGAAAGTGCAAAAAGTCTCTTTTGCATTCAAGACTTGCCTCGGCAGCATTTGCATCTCTCTCAACGTTGAAATCAGAAATTGCTTCACGACCATTCTGGTTACAGACTCATTACTGGCATGCAAAGAGATTTGCTATGGCAACATTTTGGAATTACCGAATCGCCCTACAAAGCAATTCTAAAGTTTATCGCCCGCTCATTCGGGCAGGCCTTTCTGGCAGCACTCTACATGACCTCTCATATGAAGAGTGCTTCCTTTTGCAAAACCAGCCCGAAAATGTTAACCTCGCCTCTATTCTCTCAGAACGCACGCCATTCAAATGGAAAGTTGCCCATCAGGACTGCCATATACGCTACACGGATCAGGATGCCTCTATGATGGGACATTGCATTTCCTGCTTTTTTGTCTTTCAAGAGACGCAATTCCTTGGTGTGGTGGGCGTTGAATCCGCTAAAGGCGCGACCGGGACTGATTATCTTTTATGGGTTCATCCCTCGATATCTTGTACAATTAAAGACAGCCTACTTCAGACATGCGAGTCTCTTATTGGAAGGCTCTGTAAATTCGAGCTTTTCGGGCCAAAATCGCTTTCTCTGCTAACTGAACTTTTTAAGCTTCAACCCGTGCAGGGCATAGTAACAGTCCGGAACAGCACCAAGAAGAAAAAGGTGGCAGAGAACTTTGTTTCAGGGGCTTCTTCAAATGGATCCCCGTGCCACTCTGCATTTACACTGAAAGAAGATGATGCATCGTATGAAATTCGAATTATTCCAAAGTCACCCACACGGGTGCAACTGATACTTCCCGCCTCACGGGGCGTCGAGTTGTGGAGGCAGCTGATTTATACAAACTCCTTTATCCCAATTGGGCTTTCCGAAAGGAGAACACTTATCGAGCAAATTCATTTGTTGAACCCTAAAGATACCAAAAACCTTGACTTGGTGTTTCCATTTTACCTTCCAGGTACACCAGTTTTTTCAGAAGCCCTTGCGAGAGATTTTGAAACATATGTACTGAGGCCTGAATCGCGGCTTCCTCCGTCTAAGCGCCGTGTCCGCATGCCCCCTTCTGAACTGCTTCTCCATATCATCCAAACGACAACACTATCCCAAGCAAGCCTTTTCAAGTCTGAATCAATACTGCATCAAGATCATGTCCGGCATGCATCAAAGACCCATATATTCTCATCCATTGCAATTACTCCAATCGTGATGAGCGGACGAGGGCGACCCTGTTTCGGTTCCATTGTCTATGCAGGAAAGGTTCTGACAAAGAACGCTTCAGAGCTCGAATCGATAATACCTCCGCCGATTTCATGGCGTAATGACTTTCTGGGAGCTGAGGAAAACATCCCAGAGGAAAGTTCAATTGTGGAGGATACGTTGGAAAATGCCGGAGAGCATTGCAAGTTAAAATCTAAAAGGCCCCACAGTTTTCCCTCTGAGGATATGATCTCCGCTATTGGGTTTATAGTGGTGAACCCGATTCAGGAACGACATATTGCCTCAAATGGGTTCTCCATGGTCACAGGTAGCGGCTATGGCATATGTATCTATGATGAATCGCTTCTTGCAACGGCAAAAAACCTGCACGGTCAAGATTTATGCTTTTGGGTTAGGAATCCCATATCGCCCGCGCTATTTTATCCCGCTACAATGGTACAATAAAAAATTAAAGCAAAAAGGCCAGCAGTAGCCTGTGCGACAATGGCAATTAAAAATCGCGAAATATCTAACCCTAAAATAACTTTTAGGTGCATCCGTTGTATGCTAGATCATTTAGTGCAATGGTAATGATGAGCAAGCAGAGAAATGCAGGCTTTTAGTGCTGTTCGTCAAGGTTCCGGTCAATGTTAAACGCAGCGCTGATTAGGGCCAGATGAGTAAATGCCTGTGGAAAGTTTCCAAGCGCTTCGCCGCTGGGCGAAATTTCCTCTGAAAAAAGCCCCAAGTGATTCGCATACCCAATGATATCTTCAAATTTGAGAACAGCCAGATCAAGAAAGTGCTTATCGTTGAGCATTGCCTTTGAACCCGCCCTGGCCATTGCCTCTACCAGCCAGAAGGAGCAGAGATTAAAGGTGCCCTCGTTCTTCAAGATCATTGCCGCGTCAATCGTATTTTCAAGCAATACAGGAGCCGTACTGTCAACAACGGGAACAATGCTATCAACAACGGGAACAATGCTATCAACAACGGGAACAATGCTATCAACAACGGGAACAATGCTATCAACAACGGGAACAATGCTATCAACAACGGGAACAATGGAGTCTACATTTGCGGCAGCATTATCATCTGAAGCTAAAGGGACCAAAGTTTGAGGCAATCTCACTGGAGATGAAGATTCCAAAAAAGACCACCGAAAACACAGATTGTTCGCCGTTAGGCCACCCATGCGCGTAGGCTTTAGGGTCTCTCTGAGAGTAGAAAGAAACTTGGGATCGAGGGGGGAGAGAAAGAATACAAGTGGCATCACTAATGAGGAAGCATCCAGATCGTTAGAACCGTAGTATTGAACGAAAGCCTGACGCTCCTTGCTCCAACTGCGCTCCATCACCTCCTCGAAGAGAGCATCGCGAGCAGGGCGCCAGAGGCTCTCTGCTTCTGATGGAAATGACCGCTTTGCAGCAAGGCGAATTGCGCGATCCAGGGCGACCCATGACATCACCTACACATAGAGATAAATACCTCAAGAGAATCCAAAATATGAACGCCTAAATATTTATAGTCGCCTACCTTGGAATATGTGTAATGACGTTGACCGTGCCGGAGCTCCCAGATGCCATGATCCGGCAAATGCCATGTGGCCAACACCTGCGGTATCAGAGTGCGTCTAATAACGTTCCAGTAATCATAGGAGAGGGGACGTGCCCACTTATCAACCAAGTAGATGGCATCCATAAGTTCCCCGTAAACGTCTGTCTGCGTCTGGTTATAAGCAGCATTTCCGATTCGTATGGGTTTGCTGCCGCAATACCCATCCAAATGAGGGAGTATGATTTCACATTCGTTATCTTCCAAGTAGAGTGCACGCAGTGTCGCAGAAAATTCTACAGAACTTGGTGAATTTTCTTTTGGAGAATAAGAGCGCATGAGAGGGGGGGGAGTCTTCTATCAAAGAAGCACCTCCCTCATAACGACCGCCAATGTCTACATTTTCCAAATCGGGATTCACTTGCTCCGGATACCAATGTGAACGCGCTCGATATGAGCAGATCATCGCCGAAGGCGACTTGCCACGAATATCATACAAAACTTGCAGTGATGAGGAACCTTCTGATGTCCCGATTTCCATGCAACGTCTAGCGATGAATTCCATAAATTGAACCGCCTCTTCTTTGAAACCGATGCGGAGAAAGGCGTATACAGTGAAAGCTGCATCTCTAATCCAAGTGAATCGATAATCCCAATTCAGGAGGCCACCAATTTCTTCTGGCAGCCCAAATGTTGGAGCGGCAATGATGGCGCCTGTAGGTGCGTATGTAAGCAACTTCAAAAGCAAAGCAGAGCGGTGCACGATCTCCCGCCAACGGCCCTTGTATGTGCAACCTGCAATCCATGAATGCCAAAAGGAAAGTGTCCCGCCAATAAGGTCCAAGAGGTACGTGTACGATGGAGAATCTACTTTTGCACGCTCAGTGGGATTGCTAATGTCACGTAGGACAAACAGCATGGATTGGCCCTCAACAAGGGTAAAAGTAGCCATGGACCCAGGCCTCCGCTTATCTTTATCCTCAACTTTCCAGATCGAAAATGCAGTAGGCGAAGAGCAAGAACAATCGAGTCGCCCTCCGTGCTGAATGTGAGATCTGCATATGCTCCCTTCATGATCAGAAGGCCTCTGAAGGACCCAGCATAGCTCCATTGTCATAAAGCGGCTTTCAAACAATATTCTATTGTGCAGATCACAGCGATATAGCGTATGTCCAGATCGCGCATAGTCGAAGGCAGGACATATCCTGACGTCTATGGAGACAGGGCCTCGAATGCACTCCAACTTTCTAATTATCCATGGATGCGAAGCCGCTCCACTCTCCTTGACAGGCATTAAATCGGTCACTTGCGAAATACCTTCTTTACCTGAAAACCGCGTGACGAGGATATTTGAAGATGGCAAATAGAGCTGCTTTGTGCGTATTTTTTGTCCGGTCCTTGGGGTGCATCCGTATATTGATTGAAGGCGCGGATGAAACACAGCGCAATCTGAGGGCAGAATCTCAAAAAAACCGCCCTTTGCATGGTCCAAAAGGCGTGCAAACACAGTCGGCGAATCAAAATCCGGATAGCAAAAAAAATCAATAGAAGCGCCATGGCGAGAAACAAGCGCAACGGTGTGCATATTCCCTATCACACCATAGTTCTCTATTGGTTTGTAGTGGTGGTTATTTCCCGACGGTGGGCTCATAAAAACCATCCACATCAACACATCCCATCAAGGTTTCATGGTGCATGATGACACATTATCAGGAAGTTTAAAAATATATTAAATTTAAAAAAAATTTGCCCCAAAAACTTTTTTATGCTTACCTTAGACGACCTGATCGCTGCTGCCCGCAAACCGGGGCCGTCCACGCCAGCGGCATTTGAGGTTGAAGGAGGATCCTTTGTCAAAACCATTCATAGCGATAAAAAGCTCGACAAGATTGCAAAGATTTCGTCAAATCTGCAACCAATTCAAAAGCCGCTTCCAAAATTTAAATCCGAGAAAATCAAACGGATTGCAGCATACGAACAAGTTTCAAAGGACCTTTCAAAATGGCTTCCAGCAATTACCTCAAACAGAAAAGCAGAGTCTCTTTTTCTTTCCACAGCGCGACCGGGAGCCTGTGCCCCCATACCCACGTCGAAGTCGATGTTTGAAAGCTTTTCGCCCAAAAGCGATCTGGAACAAAAAATGGACTCAATTCTTTCAGCAGAAACACCCAATTCACTTGAAGATCCATTGCAGGGGCTTACGCCCGATTTGGCTAGGGAGCGGCAAATTGATCTACAAAAGCTCCGCTCCTTTCTCTTCTTCCAACAGAAGAAACAAAAGAGGAGTGCAAAAATAAAGAGCAAGGCGTATCATAGGATAAAAAAGAAGGAGCGTGAAGCAAAGAGTGCTAAGGAAATGAGCCAATCTGAGCCTTCCCAGAAGGCTCTTCTTAAAGCAGAAATTGCGAGAGCAAAAGTTTGAAAAATTTCTTATTCCCTAGGAACGAATGACGCAGAAGCACAGACACCAAAGGGGCACTCAGCATTTGAGTGCTCTCTCTCCAGAGGCTCAATTGGCTCAAGAAGAGCAAACAAGAATCCAGAGGCTGAAATCAAAGATATACCTCAGCGACGAAGAACCAGAGGAACATGAAGAAGACTCTCCTCCCCCAGCCTCCTCGTCTTCATTGTTGACATTAAAGTTCATGAAAAAAGGTGCCGGACCTGCCGCCTCTGATTCTGATCAGCAAGACTCTGGAGATGGCGAGGATATTTCCGATCATGACAGTCAAGAAGACTCTGATGACGAAATTCTCCTGGGACAGAGATCCTTTTCTTCCGTTTCAAAGGATAAACAGAGTTGGAAGGAGCAAATTAAAGAAAATAATTTTACGAAAGAAAATGTCAAAGAACTCTCCTCAAAACCGGTGCTACTAAAGAACGACTCGGCAATTCAGTTTCAGCGATCGCTTGTGGCAGAGGCATTTCAGCATGACAAAGGCGTGATTTCGGACGCGCTAGAATTTGCTTCAGAAAAGCTTTCCGTGGCTGCAAATGAGGTTGCAAAGCCTTTTGTAGATGCAACACTTGTCGGCTGGGGCTCCTGGGGTGGACACGGGATTTCGGAAGAAAAATTGAAAAGGAAAAGGCCTTTTTTGATCCCAAATCCAAACCTGCAAGACAGAGAGGGTGTTGATCCTTCAAAACGAAAAGATGCCCGTCTCCCCCATGTGATCATCAGAGAAAAGCGCGACCCAAAACAGACAGAACGTAAATATCTGCTGAGCCGGCTTCCATATCCATATGACAATGAGGCACAATTCAACGCTGCGAGCTACTTGATACCTGTGGGCAAAGAGTGGAACCCTACTTCTACTTTGCAGAAAAAGATAGCCCCTAGAATTTCACAGAATCTCAATGGCCTTGTAATCAAGCCCCTCCCACTAAAGAGAAAGGGATAGCCAATCGCAAAGCCCAGTGCTACCCTACACCGAACTTAATAATTATTTTTAATTTTGATTTTTGCTTAAAAGAGCCAAGGTAGTATGTAATGATGGTGTAATATTCCAATAGACGCTTTACAAGGACCCTTGAGCGACAGCTCGTTTCGGTTTACCATCCGGGGTTTTTTCAAGTAAATTCAATTGTGGATAGTTTTATTGTCCACTTTAGATACAGTCTAAGGCAATTGGGGCATGATGTCTGGAATCTGGATTACAATGGAAACATTCACGAACTCAGTCTTCTTTTAAATGCAATAGTAGAAAATGCCTTTATCTCACCCTCTGACTTGAGTCCATCATCATGATCATCCTCTTCATCGTCGTAATCCAGAGTGGTTGCAGGTCGTGTAATTCTAATGGCTAAATATATGGCAGATATGTGCAGCGCAATTGAAATGCACCATAGATAAAAGGAAGGCCCTTGATGAACCCCTTGCGCACCAGACCGAGCTTGAAACCCCCGATAATCTGCATCTATTGCCCGAAGAATAAAAGTCTCATATAACACAATTGGGGCAAGCGATGCAATAAGTGCAATAAAAAAAGTCCCTCGGATAAGAATTGCAACCACAGAATAAGGTGTTATCTTTTTATCTGGCTCCACACAAGCAGTTTGAAAAATCCGGTCATTCCAGGAAATCAAAAAAAAGATCGACAGAAAAATGATTATCGAAAAATGTATACCAACCGATAAGCACAACAATGACAAAGAGAAATTCATTTGAGGCGAGATTGTTGAGTCACCAATCCAGGACCACAAGGAATAGCCGCTATTATAGAAGCCATCATCCTTGATCGCCCAGAATGAGATCTTAAATGGAGAGCTGGGTGAAGGGATAAAGCTAACCATAAAAATGATAAACTCAATTGAAAATATAAGCAGCAAAATGATTCCAAATGCTTTTTTAGATGTAGACCTGGAGAGGGCTGAGATTGGCATCGTTCAAATTGTAAATATCCAAATCGGGCTTCGAAAGATGCTCAAATAATAAATATATATTAAAATATTTTATCAACCCAATATCTACGGCCATACACACTGGAAAACACCGGGTCTCGTCCGATCCCCGAAGTCAAGCCAGTGCTGGCGCAGTCAGTACTATGATGGGTGACCGCATGGGAATACTGCGTGCTGTAAGTTCTATCTTTTTCTGTTTTTTCACAGCGCTAATTTTAATTGTTTACTTTTCAAAATGCACATGTGCGTTCTTTTCCCAACCGGTACTCCGCCTGTTTTGATGGCTTGGAAAATATTTAACCAACTGAAGAGAACTAAGGGCCACTTGAAAGTACAACCAAGATTCGAGTTTACTTTCTCCGTTAAACTTGTGCGTCACCGTTGTAAACTGCTCGTTTAGTTAAATAGATGTTTTATTTCGTCCTCAATAAATTATGGTACAAATGGCTCATGGTTCTCTCTGCTTGCGCCTCCGTTCCCTCTCTCCAAATCCAGAATCCAAAAGTGCCATGGAGGCCATTCTTTTAGCCTTGCTGACAGGATTGAGGAGTGAGAGGACTTCACTTTCCTTGATAAATTCTTCGTCAAGGGGAGTGATGGATGTAAATGTCGAGTTTTTTTTCATTTCATCTTCAATAGCTTTGAAGAGAGCCACATCTATTTCCCCGATGAATGTGATTGATTGTCCACCTTTTCCGGCTCGGGCGGTTCTCCCAATGCGATGAATATAAGTCCGCGGATCGGCGGGTACATCATAATTGATGACCAGCTGTACAGCTGGAATATCGAGACCACGAGAAGAGAGGTCCGTTGTGATGAGGATAGGGACAACTTCTCCCTTGAATCTGATGAGAGACCCAATGCGTTCCTTTTGGGACATTCGTGAGTGCAAAGCCGTGGATCTGATTTTTAGCTCTTTGAAAGTCAAACGAAGAAGTTCAGCCGTCCTAGTGAGATTAGTTGCAAAAAGACACCTTACTTGCACTTGCCTACAAAAATAATGATCGATGGGGTAGAAGCAAATGGCCCTGTCGTAAGAAGATGGACCAGATAGCTATCTTTTACCTGACTTGGAATGATAACGCAGCGTTGAACAAGCGAGGCGATGCCTTCATATGACTCCTTGCAGTTGTAGATAAATGGCTCTTTTTTAGGGAGCATGAGACGAATGTTATCAACAATCGAACGAGGAAGCGTTGCAGAAAAGAAGAGATTTTGTCTTTTCTCAGATGAGGCAGAAATTATCTCCGCCACGGGACTGTGAAAACACTCCTCACCCAGCAAGCGATCAGCCTCGTCAAAGATGAGGAATTTTAGACGAGAAAATGCTCTTTTCAGATCAGGCGAGGAGCGGAGAAGGTCAGCAAGTCTTCCAGGGGTTGCAATCACAATATGTGGACGATCATTGGCAAGCGACATGGCCTGCTGCATCATATCAAGGCCTCCGATGACGATAGATACCCCCAGCTTAAGGCCCTCACCAAATGCTTTGAACTGCTCCCCGATTTGTAGTACAAGCTCGCGTGTTGGCGACAAAACCAGAGCGAAAATTCCAAATGGATCTTGTGAAAGAAGCGTCAAAACTGGTAGCGCAAATGCAGCAGTTTTCCCAGAACCAGTTCTTGAGGAAGCGATGACATCGTGGCCTCCGAGAATTGCAGGAATGCAGGCAGTCTGTACCTCTGTAGGCGTTTTGATCCCAAGTGATGCGAGCGTAGTGATAAGCCACGGTGCAATCCCACCAAAGGCCAAGTCAGAAGCAGTGCTGCTTTTACCTGAATCTACTGTATTTAAATGCATGGAAGGGCCTGCATTGGCACTCAAACTTTGTTGGGTGGGTGTTGAAAAGAGTCGAATGGCCATTTAGCTTTTTAATTTGTCAATTAAAAATAATTTCATTCTGTTTTGGTTGCCTGATTTTTTAAATTTAGCCTACAATATTTCACCTCCATTTTTGGGGTTAAATTAAAGTTAATTCGACCCCAATTTTTACTACAAATTTTCCTAATGCCCCGGGCTCTTTGGAAGGGGCCATACTTTGACCTTAGACTCTTCAAGGCCATACAGGAGGATGCTGCTACAAAGAAAGGTGTCATCACATATGCACGCTCGTCAACTGTCATTCCTGCATTTGTTGGTGCGAAACTCCTCGTGCACACGGGTCGGTCCTTCACCCCGCTCGTTGTGCGAGAAGAAATGGTTGGACGCAAGCTTGGAGCACTTGTGCCAACAATTACGCGCGGTGAGCCTCCAAAGTCCAAAGCGCAGATCAATCGTGAGGCTGCCCAGGCCGCAGCCGCTCGCCGCCGCGCCGCCGCCCAGGGCTCTGCTAACAAATAGCCCATTGTAATAAATTTAAATACTTGCGTTTATAATGGATCCCAAGTTGCCTAAGCGAGGTCAGATTGATGCTGCCTGATTGTACTGCAGCTCGGATTTACAGTTTATAAGTTAATCGGAAGCGGCCAGAAGCTCCTCAATGTGTGCCAACATATCTTCGAATGATGCCGTCTCAACAGTGGAGCCGTCAAGGGCTGAAGGCTCTTCGTGTGCTTCTTCAATATTGGCCTCATTTTCATCAAATTTTAGGATCAACTACAGTGAGGCTGGATGATTTACCTTTTTCGCTGCGAGTAAATGCTCCCGTCCGAGTAGCACTCGTTCCTCATCCTCCATCGGTAAAGAGAGAAGGGCAAGGCCAAGTAGATAATGAAGGTCAGGTAGATCATCTTGCAGCTCCAAAGACCATTCTAGAAGAGGAATAGATTGCCGATATGCCTCAAGCTCAATGCCAAGCTTGGCTATTTGAAGCACTAGCTCCATGGACGGCATCTGATTCTCTTCTATTTCCAATTCTTGATCATTATTTATGGGAAGAAGGGAAAGGGCACGCTCAAAAGCTACCTGAGCAGCCATCTTATTCGACTGATTGAGAAAGAGCTGTGCCTGAAGATACGCAACTTCGGCGGAGAGAGGATCTTCCATCGCTGCCAATGCAAGATGCTCAGTGGCAATCGCATCCGCGTCCTGTTCGTTGCACAGGTCGGTGATCCAGAGTTCGGCAATTGCACAGTGGATCTGAGCTGTGGTTGGGTGTGATCCTTGAACGAAGCGTTGTTTTTCAGAAGGATCATTTAATGATGGGCTTTCAGTCGCTTCTTTGAGGGAAAGAGCCTTTGTGTAAAGCTCAAGTGCATCTCGTGGATCGCTAAGCAGTGGTGCAAGAAAGACATAGCTACCACGCTCATTTGGAAAGGCTTCAATAGCCAACTCATATGCCTATTGGAAAGCGATGCAAACTGATACACTAGCGGCTGCACTAACATCATCCAGCTCTAGACTTATACTTGCAAAAAGATGAAGGGTGGGCAGATGTGGTATAAGATCGGCGCCTTTTCCTAGCAACGGACCAAGACCCCCGCCATCTATCAAAGCCTTTATTGCTTGCTCATGCTCAAATGCATCAGCAAATGCAGCGGCCTGCTGAAACGCATTTTCTATGCGATCCATCAGATATGAAATAAAATTTAAAAAAATAAAAATTTAGTATTTTAAGCCATGGAAACTCGTGTTCTCAAATCGAAACGGGTATTCTTTCCTTTCTTTATATTTAGATGTTTTTCGGGGCTTTGTCAGTTTTCCGTTGCTATCGACAAATCTTACCCTGAGTTTCTTTTTACGCCCACTGCAGTCCTGGTTATATAGCGTCTCATTGTTTTTTAACGAGCTCTTCAGCAGATGTTGTTCCATCACCCCTTCCGCATCTTTCCCGCCATCTATAGTTTCTATCCACAAATGCATAAATAATTCTAGCAATAAAATGGAAAGGATACACTTGGGTGTATGGGTAAGCCCAACTCAATTGTCCCTGAAACAGGATAGTGGATGCTTTATTGTGGTCCCCATTGGTGCGACATGGTCTCAGTATGAAATTTAAACAAAATTTTAATTTGTGACAAGGATGAAATTAATTAAAAAGCTACTCAAATGGGAAAGTGGACGGACAAGCTTTACATCACACATGGGGAATGGGCAGCTGATTTCGGTGGGGCAAAAGCAGCACCAAGAAAGTATGCAGAAGGATATCACCTCCCCTTTGGATGTTGCAATCGCTCTTTCTCTCAGCTGTTTGGCAAGGGCTCTGCTCCTGGTGTGCAGCCTATGCTTGATACCATTACTGGTCTTCTCTACGACAAGCACGCTATTTCCAGCGAAATTTCAGACTCTCTAACCAATGAAACAGACGCTACGACTGAGGTGTCAGACCAGATCATTGATGGGTCCCATGCCCCATGCCAGGATAAATCCACTGACAAGAGAGGCAAAAGCCGCTTTATCCCAATTAAATGGGAAATTGATCCTGTTACACATGAGCCTATTTGTCCTGTGAGCAGGAGGACACTCACGGATCATCTCCCTATTGTTGCTATACGTACAAGTGGTTGGCTCTACGACGCAGAGACAATCCAACAGCTCAATGTTTCCCGGCGAAATTTTATAGATCTTGTGACCGGAATTTCATTTACCTCAGCAGACATTATTCGGGTCATCACAGGGGTCGCGTCAGTAGCAAAAAATCAGCCACAAAACATCTCGAAACTCGGAAATAGGCAGCCTTTAATAGCGATTGCTCAGTCTGCGAAGATACCTGCTGCCAGTCCATCGCCAAGTATTGATCGAATTTTCCGGAGTATCCGCGAGAAGCCGTCCGCATTACAGGCGGAATGTCGGAAGCTTGGACTTGAAAAGATGCAGCTGCGACATCTGCCAAGCAACATTACCATTACATGCCCTGGGGCGGCTCCAATGCCTTCGCGTGATGTTTATGCCCCGCCGCTTTCTACAAGGGGAACTCGGGGGGCAGTTTCTGCTTCTTTCACGTCGACTGCCATGAGTATCGCGACCCGCAATGAAGAGTTAGTGCCTAGACCTGAACATCCTGCTAGTAAACGTACTCGCCGCTAGCAAGCCCAGGCGGCCATTGGCCCCGCCCCATTAGAGCTAAACTTGTATTAAAGGCCGGATGTAAATGTTTACTGTACACATCATATGGCGAGTTTCACTGTGCACACATCGAAATGTATATGAAAAGACTTAGTGGTTACTGGTAATACAGAGGGGTGTGGGAGCATTGTCGAACCGCACCGCCCGGCGGATGCCCCTGATGCCGGCTTCCGTAAGGGCAGCACGGATACTTTTCGCTGCGTCAAAGAGAAAAGGACGGTTCAAGAATGTGTCCATAGTACCACCTTGCACAAGTGGACCCTCGGCAGCAAATTGTTGACAGATCTTTCGCATCATCGTAGCATAGGTGGCCTCTTTAGATCCCATTATAGTTACTGGATACTCAGCTTCCAAGGCCTCAAATTCTATGATTGCAACGATGCGTTCTCCAAGTGTCACTGACCCATTAGCTTGATTAGCCGGAACGGCAAGAGGTGGGTGGATGTAACATGCTGTAAGACTTTGTGAAGTCAAGGGAATATGCTCAATTCGTGCCACGGAAAGCTGTTCCCGCAGTTGGGCAGCGAGCGAGCGAAACATGTTGCCTGTTTCAAAATCGCCAGATAAATTTTGGTCTTTTATAGGGGCCGATAAAAGTATCTTGCAGAGAGCAGTGCGCGAGAGTTCACACCTGGAGCTAAAATCTGAAGAAAAGCGGAGCTGAAGCAACGTAGCGGCGTCATGACCGATCAAAACCCCGGAAAGAATATGCCCTCCAGAATTGCGTGGATCAGCACAACTATCGGTCCGCTCGATGTGGACGGGAGTCCCAGTAGAGGCTAGCTCGGCGAACAAGCTCGTACGAGCCTGATTCTCGTCGCCGCCGGCGGTATTTAACGCCTGACGGCAGCGAAGTAGCGGAAGGCTAGTAGCACTACGCAAGCGCACTAGCTTTGCTTGGAAAGCGGATGCCGCCTCTGGAGCGGTCTTTACAGATAGCCACCGCATGGGATGAAGCTTTGAAACGAGCATTTGAAAAAGCGAAAATTTTAACCTGAGCAACGCAATGTGGCAGTTTCCCATTGAGAGCTTTTTACTTTGCATTCTCCCCTTACTGGGTATCTCTTCTATTGGGATTTATTTTTATTAAAAGTAGCTTACGCTCACTTATAATGTCAAAAGGTGCGATAGCTATATAAGAAGGTTGCCCAAATTAAGTTTGGTCCGTAAATCGAAGGCCATTGTTTTATCAGCTCGCTTCATTCTTTCCAATTGGTTATATGGGCAAGACCCAAATAGTCATTTGTATCTTGGTACCGTTCAAAGCCGGTGTAAATAAAAATGATGCCTAGCTGGAAGGGTTACTGGAATTATCATAGAAACCCGAACACAGCATGTGTATGCAGAGATTAGGAAGTGATAGTAACAGTAGACATTAGAGAGCCATTCAAAAGAGGAACTGTCTTAAATTTATTGCTTAGAGACGTTGCTTACGTGCGTGCGGCTCTTTGCGAGTGTATGGACGACGACCCTCAACATCATCACTACCTTTGCGCTCGGGACCCTTGACTGCAGGCAATGCGGACATGCCGATAGCAGAAAGCATGTCCTACATATCAGAAAATATCCTTACATTTGTGACAGAATCTACTTCAATGGCAGGCAAGGTGAGAGCAGAAACTTCGGGCACGTAATTGTCTTTGCGTTCGCGCTCCTCTTCTTGCAACTTGAAGGAAATTCCACGGACGGGTCCACGACGGATGCGCTCCATCAGATGAGTTATGAAGCCGGCGATTTTATTGCGCAAGCGCTTCGACTGAATAGAGGCAATCTCGTCGCATGTTCGCTTGTTAGTCTGGAAATCGAGGTTGAGGCGGGTGTAATACTTTTCAATAATGTGGCGAGCAGCCTTTTTGACAGTTTTTGTGCGTACGCGGCCCTATCGGTAAGAAATAGAAGCAAAAAATAAAAGAACAAAATGAAACACACAGGCCGCATAGCAAACAAAGCCTAGAGGCAATGGATGAAAATGATGCAGTTGGGAAATGGATTTGAGCATGGCTTACCATTTGTAGATTAAATTAACTATTTAATTTAGAAATTATTTAAAATATTTCCTGGAATGTATTCTCAGAAGTTGTTAATCAAAATTCGTTAATAACCTTAAAATAAATGAACTTAACTTGTCCATATGCGTAAATCTAGCCATTCATTCGAGAAGCTTTAAATTTTTTGATTTTGTGACGATGGAGGTTGCGGAGCTCTCCGAGACACAGCGCCGGCTACGGACACTGCTCGCTGGAGGTCTGGCCGGCTGCATAGCAAAGAGTGTTATTGCGCCGTTTGACAGGTAAATGGCAGCCCCCTCATTATTAGGATCAAGATCCTTTTTCAGGCACGCAAGCCAGAGGTCGTCCCATACGCCGGTATTTAGCTGTTTGCGCAATTTTTGTAGGGCGCATCTCTGGGGTCTTCCGTGTGATGAGAATTATTTTTCACCGCGATGGTCTTTTTGGACTTTACCGCGGACATTCTGCCATGCTCCTGCGTATTTTTCCATATGCTGGGACAAACTTTCTCGCCTATGAGCAATTCAAGAGGTGGATTCATCTGCCCGAAGGCATAGGATATGATTCGCTTCATAAACTCCTATGTGGGTCTATGGCCGGCGCCACAGCAGTTACTCTCACATATCCCTTGGATATGATACGCGCGCGATTAGCTTACCAACTAGGTCATGATTTTTCTACCAGTGGTAGTGCAACCTCTAATTCTGCCGTTGTTTTAGACTCTGATGTCGCTTCAGCGACAAGGATCAAGCCTGAAGCTCCCAAGAACGTCTTCTGCACTTATGGAAGTAGTAGATCGCCAATGGCACGGCTCTTTTTTGGGCAGTCTTTTCCGCCTGCGCTTGGTCGGGTCTGGGGACGAACTCTTTCTACGATTTTCTTTGATGCTGGTGGAATTTCGCGCTTTTACCGCGGCTACTCCGCCTCGCTTTGCGGAATTGTACCGTACGCTGGGGTCTCATTTTGCGTTTTTGAGACCTTGAAACGGATCTTTTCTTGTGATAAGAATGTTGCGAAAAAGTTCCTTGCAGGGCTAGTCGCAGGTGCCTGCGGGCAGACAGCAGCGTATCCTTTTGACGTTGTTCGGCGTCGAATGCAACTGGATCGCGTTGCATCACATATCCCCGTATATCGCTCAATTTTCGAGGCATTGTCCGATATTTATCGGACATCTGGCGTTCGAGGGCTGTACATTGGTATTTCGATAAATTATATGAAGGTCGCACCAGCAACGGCGATCTCCTTTGTGGTATACGAAGCTCTCGCAGAGCGACTTGGGACCCCTAGACGGCTCCAGTAGGTTGTTTTTCATTTATAGTTTGATTCCTCTGCCTGTAGAAATTGTACAAAACAAGTAAAGGATGCTCAAATAGAGAAACCAACCAATATAATGGCTGTCATTAATTTAAAATCTGATTGCAATTTTACATGTACACCTTTTACATTGTATGATTGGCTAATTTAATTTTTTTATGCTCAAGCCGCAGACCTTTTGGGAAAAGTTCTTCCAATTTTACCTGGCAATTGCCAGCTTCTTCTCCCTGCTTTATGGCCTTGCTCTGATGGTACTCGGTGTTTGTTGCAGATATAATCCAGAGACATATGGCTATGGGTTTGAATTCACCTCGACCCTCTTCTGTCTCATCGGAGGCGGTGTGATGTTTATTTCCATTTTGGGATGTTGTGGCGCATCATGCGAATCTCGCAGAATGACCATTTCGGTAAGTGGCGACGTATTTTTATGCTTAGTATTCTTTGGCGCAGTCCATACTCATGACGTGCCAGCTTGGCCTTTTCCTCTTTCTGCTGTTCTCCTTCAGAAGGGTATGAGACTACTAAGATTACCTAAATCTAGGCGGATGGTGTTGCTTTGTTGATTTGGAATGATGATCTCTCTGAAGGAAACCGCCTCTCCTTTCAAAACACGGTAAAGCAATTTTTTAACTCGCAGTATCGATGCTACGATGATTTGAGCTACACTTCCAATTCCACATCGACTCGACAGCGAATGCCAGCTACGCTTGAGTCACCACCACAGCCATTATCAGATACACCTATAGCATCAACACTGCAACCGCAATACTACCCTTTATCCTCGACAAGTCCATGTAGCATTGAATTTTCGAGGATTGTTGCCTCCTGGTTCTATTTCCTCCTCCTTTCAGTTGGCTGTATTATGATTATCGGGGTATGAGTGCTAGCTTAACCTTAGGGAATCAATTTGTGCATCTCGATATATATTTTTGATGTTTTTCCTTCAAACAATCAAAAGCTGCAGCATCAACTGGAAGCCAAGCGTCTGCGCGACCTCTCCGCTTAATAACATGGCTTCCTGCTTCGGTGTCCTTGATCTATCTCCATTTAGTGCCCCAAATGTCAAGATAACATAGAACTGTGATCCAGCTTTCACATTAGATATGGAATTCCAACTCCAGTAAAGGCTAAAAGAAAAATTACCATCACGCCTCATCATTGGGGCTATTTCATTACAATTGAATTACTAATCTAATAAATGGGCTTAATTATTTATGCAAGGACGACAAAGTTGGCCTTGGGAAAATGAGCCGCTTTCTTGCGCTGGCGTTCGGTCTTCTTGTTGATTTCAGACTTTGTCATACGTCGGCGAATGGCGCGCGTCTTTTTTGGGCGAATGTCAAGGGGTTTGTACTTCTTGCCAGCATAGAAAGCCTTCATCTCTGAGCGTTGTTGCTGCTGAATAACGGTCAAAACCCTAGCGATCGATTTACGTACGACGGATCTAAAAATAAGGAATTATTTTCTACATTCTAGCGAGCTTTGGGGCGGTTGCAGAGGAAGCTTGGTTGACGCGAAGTGCAGAAAGCTCTTGCTTGAGGTCAGAGAGTTGCTTCATAAGCTCGGCTTTCGAGATGTTACGGAGTTCATGAGCCTTTACAATGGAGGACTAAAAAGTTATGCATGTAAATACGAAAAACGAGTAAGCTATTCAAATTTAACCGTGAAAATGGATCATAGGTAATCAGAAAAAACAATAACTGAAAAGGTGAATGAAACCATCAAATCAATAGGTAAAGAAAACAAACAGACAGGCCAGCCAGAAAAATGCGGCATCACGCTGAAATGCTTTTCAATCCATGCATCGATTTGGGGATGGATGAAATAGTATTGGTGGTGAGGGCTTACCATTCTGGGAGCAAAGGCAAATAGATAAATTAAATTTTACTTTAAATTACTTTCAATTCCAATGGATACTTCCCCCTATGCCCCAATACTCCAGGCGCTTTTATTGGCAAAGGTTATCAGTGAAGAGCGTCTAAAGGACATAATGCCCTCCTTTCGTTCTGAAAACGTTTTGTTCGTTGACATGGTGGCAGAGGTAAATGTGCTCTTGCGTGACTTTGACCTTGAACTTGCGTCTGTGGAGGACCATTGGACCGGAGATTGCTATTATGGGATTGTATGAACCGTTTAAACAACTATCCTTAGATTAATATTAACGGTAGCGACATGATATCTTTAAAAAATTCGCGCTACTCAAGTCTAGAAATCTCACTCTTCGCCTCATATGTGAGGAACTATTTTGGTTAAGTTTAGCTGAGATTAATTGCTACTGCGGAGAGTTTCACAGTTAAATATTCATCCATGCCATCACTGCTACGATTCTCAGGGATCGACCTCGTCACTAACCTTGTTGAAGATTTTTGGCTTTCTAATCAAGGGTACTGTTGTTGAAGTCTATTTTAGAAATGGCTACATTACTATAGGGCCCCGTACTCTCATGGAGCTAAAGGGGTATCTTCTGGCGCAGTTTCCTGGGGCCATAAGAGAATGTATGCATTGTGGCGAGATTGTAACTGTCGGGGTCTCTTGCCCCAACCAAGATTGCTTGTCGCGGATGCACAGAAAGTGTTTCAATATCCAGGCGCAAATGTCTCTTGTTAAGCGAACCAATAGGCAGCAGTCCTCTCTAGTTTGTTCGGCATGCGACTCGCCGATTCCAATTCCAGCAGCAGTTGAAAATTAATCCATTTAATTGCTGATCAATTGCTTTTGTCATTACGGAATGGTTACCGCTAGCTGACCTGTTGGGAACACTGATCAGCCTGCGCACATATCATTTTCGTGACCCTAAATAAATATTTAAGCGCGACCATTTATTTCTATGAGCTACTTTCGTGCATGCGGTTCCTCAACAGCATCAAGTTTTTTGTTCGTATCTTCTAATTGTTTTTGTAATTGCTCCTTTAAAGCCTTGAGCTCTTCTCTTTCCTATTTAAGATTAATGACATGGAGAAGGTAGAACCTTTTGTCTAAAATATAAATCTTCTTCTGTTTTTTCCTTTTTTGAGAAAATACCGCCTCCTTGTGATATCTCACCAGCCATTGGATAGTGGAATGTACTCTGGCGGGGTTGGCGGGGAATAAACAACACTTGCTGAACATGACGCTTCATTTGAAACAAGTTGAAAAGCAATCTTTAAAATTGAACGCTATCATCATCAATGCTTCAAAAATAATACTAAAAATGGTTTTACGGAGACTCGAACTCCGGTTACAGGATTCAAAGTCCTGGGTGCTACCGACTACACCATAAAACCTTGAGGTTGTCGCTACATAAAATATACAAATAGACTTTGATACATGCAACTACGCTTGCAAATTCATTTTACAAAATGAATCCTACCCTTGAACAGGACTCTGCTTCGCAACCAATTCTCACTAAGAATCAATTGAAAAATGAGGCTAAGCGTAAAGAAAAAATGGAAAAGTATTTGGCTAAGCAAGAAAAGCTATCTCAGCTCCTTTCTACTGCTTCGGACAAAAAGCCTACAAGATCTGAATTGAAGAAATCGTCGGCATCAACAAATACACCTGAGATTAGTATTATGGAAGGAGAATTTAAAGGTTTGATGATGTGTTAATTTTTAGATGTATCTAGTTATGATATGCCATCTTCTTATGATCCAAAGTTTGTTGAGAAAAATTGGTATTCTTGGTGGGAAACAAAGGGATTTTTCAAGCCAGAAATGATTTTGGATAAAAACCCACAGGCTCCAATTTACGTCATTCCAATCCCACCACCAAACGTCACTGGCTCGCTTCATTTGGGGCATGCAATGGCCACCTCGATCCAGGATTCACTGGTTCGCTGGAAACGCATGACCGGCCATGCAGCACTGTATATTCCCGGATGCGACCATGCAGGAATTTCATGCCAGGTTGTTGTTGAAAAACATTTAAAAAAAACTCGCAATGTTACGCGCCACGATCTTGGCCGCCTTGCGTTCGTGGGTGAGGTGTGGAAGTGGAAAGATGCGTTTGGCGACAGGATATATTCACAGTTAAAGAGGCTTGGTGGTTCCATGGATTGGAGCCGTGTCCGTTTCACATTGGATCAGTCAATGAATGAGGCGGTCACCGAGGCATTTGTGAGGCTTTTTGAGCAGGGGATTATTTACCGAGAAAATCGGATTGTCAATTGGTCTTCTGCTTTGCAAACGGCTGTTTCAGACTTGGAGGTTGACCATCGTGAAGTCACCGGTAAGATTTGTAGCCTTCAATATTTTTAGGTCTTATTCGCCTTGCTGCCTTTGGACACGATCCCAAACGCACATTTGAATTTGGGTACATCTATTCATTTGCAATGAAAATTCTTGATTCTGAATCCGAATGTCCGACCGAAGATGAAATCATTGTCTCAACAACACGCCCGGAAACAATCCCGGGGGATGTCGCCATTGCGGTTAATCCTGAGGATCCGAAATACACTCGATTTCATGGGAAATTCGTACAGCACCCCATCCACAAAACTAAAATTCCGATTATTTGTGACTCGTACGCTGATGTTTCGTTTGGAACGGGAGCTCTTAAAATTACCCCAGCTCACGATTCAAACGATTTTGAAGTTTCTCAGCGTCACAAGTTACCTGTGATTGTTATTTTCGATGCAAACAATCGTCTGAATGACAACGCCGGACCAAGGTTTTCTGGAATGATGCGATTTGAAGCCAGAGAAGCTATCATTGAGTATTTGGAAGCAGAAGGCCTCTATCGCGGTCGTAAAGAGCATTCAATGGTCCTTCCCATTTGTAACCGCTCTGGGGATATCATCGAGCCTAGGATTCTTCCCCAATGGTGGATGAAATGCAAAGATATCGGTACCAAGGCTGCCAATGCTGTTCGATCTGCAGACCTTAAAATCCTTCCTGTAGAGGCAGAGAAAATATGGTTTAATTGGCTGGACAACTGCCGCGATTGGTGTTTATCTCGTCAGCTTTGGTGGGGCCACCGAGTTCCAGCCTATTCTGTCAAAACGGCAGATTCATCTGGTGATTCTGCATTTGTCCACCAAAAGTGGATTGCGGCTCGCTCAGAGCGCGAAGCTTTAGAAATGGCTGTTCGAGAATTCCCGGATGCAAAGGAGGTCAAAGTCGAGCAAGACCCGGATGTCTTGGACACTTGGTTTTCATCTGCCTTGTGGCCTTTCGCGGCGCTTGGCTGGCCTAATTGTTCATCTGAAAATTTGATGAAATTTTACCCTGCAAGCGTGCTTGAGACTGGCCGTGATATTATCTTCTTCTGGGTTGCGAGAATGGTGATGATGGGTATTCACTTAACGGGCCAAGTTCCGTTTAAACTGGTTTATTTGCATTCAATTGTCCGAGATGCCCATGGAAGGAAAATGTCCAAAAGCTTGGGAAACGTGATCGACCCAATTGATGTTATTGAAGGCATTTCGCTTGAAAATCTTCATCGTCGGTTGGAGGAGGGCAATTTGGATCCTGCCGAAGTAGCTTGTGCTCGTGCCTCTCAGAAGAAAGACTTTCCAAAAGGAATCGAAGAATGTGGTTCAGATGCCCTTCGTTTTGTTCTCTTGGCTTATACGAGCCAGGGCTCTGATGTCAATTTGGATATCCAGCGAGTAGCTGGCTACCGTCGTTTTTGCAATAAGATGTGGAATTTCGCCAGGTTTGTGTTTGCCGCAGCATCTTATACCACTGGCGGTGCTTCTTCAACCCATTCTCCTTCTTTTTTGATCGATGCAGTTATGGGTTCATGCTCTGTGGAACAGGCCACTTTGGCATTTTCGCTTTTTGACAAATGGATTTTGTTTAGACTATCAAAGACCATTGCAGACATCAATGCAGCGCTTGCAGAATTTAATTTCATGAAGGCAACGACGACAATTTACTCTTTCATTCTATACGATGTGTGCGATCTCTATGTGGAAACGCTCAAGCCTATCCTTTCTGGGGCCTCTTGTTCTCAAAGAGACCTTTCCATTTCGATATTGTTCCTGTTGCTCGACCAATCTCTTAAAATGCTGCATCCGTTTATGCCGTTTATTACTGAGGATCTTTGGCAGACAATGCACATCTCAATCTTAAAAAACCAGGCCTCGCACGAGGAATCGATTTGCATTTCTTCATACCCATCATTAAATGCCTTCCTTTCTGCATTTGGATCTTCATTTTCGGAATCAAAAGACCATGTCGAGCGAATCCAAGAAATAGTGCATGCAAGTCGCTCCATAGCCAATGATTTGAACGAAAAGTCCATCATGATTTCTTTTGATTGCGATGATGCGGCCGATGGCTTATTGCTGAAGGAGAACTCGGCCAGTATCTCGTCACTCATCAAGGGAGTAAAGCGCATCTCAATTACCAACAAATTTGAAGAACAGCGAGATGCAAATATCAATGACGATAATGTGAGATCCACGATTCTTGCTCAATCTACTGATTCCAAGCATCCTTTCCCTAACAGCATCAAGGTGACTGTTTCAAAAATTTAGGCCCTTTAAATTTTACGCTCAAATTTTATTACAATAAAAAGCCATCCCATCACAAAATTTTATCTTCATCCAACTCCTTGTCCAATGAGGGGTGTCCAGGGACCAGCAAACTCTCAACCACCTTCTCTGGAAGAGACCCCCAGAAAAATTCAGGCAGAAAGCCCTCGGATATCAGCCATGAATGAATATGAACATTGGTCTACACTTGATATGAGTGCGTCGACTGAATCCCCAGTTTTTGAAGAGGCTTCAAAACCCCCATATATCGATGCAGATATCCTGGCAGCTGCCCTCGGAAGCTGTGCAAATATTTGGGGTGGTGATGAAAATCCTCTTCCGCTATATGAAGCTCGGGATAGGCATGAATTTCTGTCTAAATCTTCTGATATGCAAGAAGAAGACCTAGAAGCTAACTCTCATCAAAATTTATATAGCGGGGATGGTGATATTATTTTTAATAATTCATCGGATCATGATAGAGGCCCTGATCCCAAAAGTTCAAATTCTTTAGACTGTAGCCCTGCTTTTTCCGGTGTTTCCCCGCGCTGTACGTATTTATTAGATCCATCCGAAGACTGGAGCACCACCAAACATAGCACCATCAACAATCTGGTTACACCTGCTGATACTTTCACATACGATCCCATTTCCTTTGACCAATACTCTAATCATGGCGAGGCTAATGTTTCTTATGACAATTATGCCGGCTTGCTTTCTCATTCAGAGGCGAGTAAAGGGGCAGACTATTTCGGCGCCGAGATTGTCACACACGTTACCGTTGAATCCCCTTTTAACGCGGATGAATATCCATCTGATAATGTAAAACTGCAGCCGGAAAAGGCTATTGATCAGATTCGCCAAACATCCAAAAAAATTGTTCTTGATGATGGGGATTTCTGGCCATCTAACTCTCGTGAGCTTTGGTCATCTGCATCTTCTCTTGAAAATATATCGCTAGATGATTATGGTCCATGGCATTCTTTTCAACTTCAAGAGGTCAAAAGTGAGTGTGTAAATGAGATTTCACGACAAAAATTTCCGGCTCCCCCGAAATCCGCGCTCTCATTAAAAGCGAAGAGGCCGAGCGTTAAAATGATAGACTGCTCCGCCAGTAACCCGATTTCCCCGGTGCCAATTCTGTTTCCTCCTATGATAAGGATTCCCTCTCCACATGTTGCAAGCAAAGAAAAGAGTCCACTTCTATTTCCCATAGAATCAAAGCCAAATATTTTGCCTGTAATCAAGTCCCAATCACCTTCTATTGTACAAAAGGGTCTAGACATTCACGCCAATGAGGTTGTGCGTAAATTTTCGACTACTGAAGCGCCTTGCAAGCCATCATCAAGGCCTGCTCCTAATGCGGATGCTCATTCATTAGACCCACCTTGTTTGGAGGTCTCTTCGAAGGCTCCCCATACGTTCCCGCTTCTTTCTGCTAATATTGCCCCATTGCAGCCCGTTCGGCGAGGCGGTGCTCCCTCTCGCCATTGTAGATAAAAATTGCCAATCCTTTCATTTCTGAGGAGTCCTGTGTTAATATCTGGTTCTTAATACCACAGGCTAGCATAGTGAATAGCTAATAAGTAATTTCACAAATAGTTGATAACACGTCCTTTGAAGACCAATCGCAACCAAGGGGGCGATAACAGCAGCAGACACCTTACATTATGAATTGTCACAAGTTTAGCCGTGGGGCTCTATTTATATGAAGCCTCCATATCGATTTATTCGCACGTAATTGAAAAATTACAAGTCACGATGTTGGGAGGTTTGACCTGTCTTGGCGAGCAATGAATCAATCGTGCTCTGGCTCAAGACGGTGCCTTCGAGAATCTTACATCCGGAAATGGTGACTTCTTTGATAGGTCTATTGTTCCTGTTGGTAGGAGTTTTTTCAATTTTGCGCACTATCTCCTCGCCAGAGGTCACTTTACCAAAAACGACATGCTTCCCATCGAGCCAGGGTGTAACTGCAGTGGTGATAAAAAATTGAGATCCGTTTGTGTCTGGCCCTGCATTGGCCATGGACAACATCATCGGACCCGAGTGCTTATGAATAAATTTCTCGTCTTTGAATCGAGGGCCATAAATGGATTTTCCTCCGGTGCCGTCTCCATTGGTAAAGTCGCCGCCCTGTATCATGAAATTTTCAATGACTCGATGAAAGGTTGAGTTAAAATACCCATAACCATAAGTGTGATTGACAAGATGAATGAAATTGTTGACTGTTAACGGAGCAGCATTGCCATAAAGTTCAATAACGATGGATCCCATTGAAGCATTTCCAAGTTTAATATCCAGAGAAACCTTGTGCGTAATCTCAGACATGTTATTGTTGGGCTCGAACGACAAAGCAGAAGCGATCAAGGCACTGAAGGCAAAGATTATGGAACAGATATGCTGGAAAGATCCCTTCATTTGCTTAGTAAATCAAAAATGATCAAATCACCAATTGCAAATTGATTGATTAATTTTGTGCCCGGTATGATTTTATTAACAATTTAAACATTTGCCTCGGCACTTTACAAATTTACAGGGAAGATTTAAATTTTAACTTTGGATATCGTTGCATGACTGCTGGTGATACGGAGATCCCGATTCTTCCTCGACGACCAGGCATTTTGCCATCCTCCCATGAAATCCTTAGTACCCCATACGTGGCTTGGCATCCACAGCGTCCTCAATATCAAGGTTTGTATATGGAACCTTCCATAGCTAGGCATGTGGGACTCTAATGTTGCACCCAACTTTGGTGCATACTATGCTGCACCATATGCCAGTGGTGTTATTCGAGGACCATTAGAGAGCGCTCGAAATGTTTCTATGGCCCTTGAAAACGTCATTCAAATGCTCTATAGTTGGACTCAAATGATTGATGGAACGTACTACACGTGGACTACCTCGCTCTCCATGGCTGTGTCTCTTTGGAATCGCCTCTATGAAGTGCTTTCCAAGTGTAGAGGCTTTGTAATTGGTCTTTTAAAATGGTGGCTTAATTTTCTTCGAGCAAAAAGAGCATCCTCCTCCTCCTCTTCCCTCTACACTTCTCTTGAAAAGATCTGGGATTCTAGGACCATAAATAGTGTGCACACAAATGTTCTCGGAAATGGGGGTGCACTTGGGGTTATTTTCCTATTTTTGGTAGTATGTGGCATCATTCTTAAGCGAAAGAAAGCGTCTCTGTTTGGTGCTGCCGAAGAGAGCCTTTCTAATGAATTAGACGGGGATCCTGATGCTTTGGAAGCTGCTGCTGAACTCGTCAAATTATCGCCGCCAATTTTTGCAAAGGTCATCCATGGATTTTCGTCCAATAGAGATGGTGACTTTCCCTCATTAGAAGAGGGCCAGCTGATTGCCATCACCCAGGTGCCTAAATCACACACCATTTTAGACTCTGATGGTGTTAAACAGCATTTGGACACTCAATTGCTATCTGTCCACCCAACATGGCTTTATGGTAGAACACGAAACGGGAAATTTGGGTTGTTCCCGTCAAATTATATCTCTATAATCGATACACAAGCATCTGCTTAGCTTATGGCCTGCCCTCGCTGGTATTTCAGGCTATCCTAAAATCGGTCCTAAAAAATATACATGCGAGTTAAACGAATTTCGGGGTACTTAAATGCTAGCCGAAACGTGATCACAAACGACTCGCGAAACACGTCAATAAACGTTGAGGCTGAACCACAGTGAAATTTTACATTTACACCTGACCTTCCGTTACAGCACTGAATATGGCGTTACTTGCTTGGCTTGGAAGTGGCACAAGGCACAATTAAACACTTTTCACCGCAGTTGCAGGTAAAATGTACCCATTGTAATAAATAAATAAATATTATTTACATCAGTTCAAGTTTGGAAAATATTTTCAGCCAATAATGTCCAGAAAGAAAAAGTATCTGACTACTTTACCCGTGTCACGAATTAAAAAAATTATGCAACTGGATGACGAGATTGGAAAAATCTCGGTGGATACACCCTTTCTCGTCGGTATGTCTGTGCTTTTTACCCTTCCTTATAGCTAAAGCATTGGAGAGATTTCTGACCGACCTTATTGAGAATGCCTGCAATCTTGCATCCACCAATAATCACAAAAGAATTTATCCTCGACACATGTGCTGACATGATTTATTAATCTATAGGAAAGAAATAATTTCATCAACAGAAATGTACGAGTTCTTGGTTCATTTGGTCGAGAAAATCCAAGGGGGTCCCTTCTCAGAAGAAGGAGCTGCTGACGCACCACCACCACCACCAACCCAAGAAAAGACTCCCAAAAAAAAACCAATCGAAAATATCAGCAAGACACATGTTGGAGGACCCAAAGTCGACGGTATTGCTACTCAAGGGAAGCGGGGCAGACCAAGAAAAGTAAATGCCACCAGTCAGAGCAATGATCCTTGCTCAAAAATTAACATAGACTCTATTTCCACCCGTCAAGAAGTCTTGGATCATCTACCCACGACCTCCACAGAAATTGCCTTTGATGAAACGGACTACGATTAACGATTAAAAAATAAAAGTTAAAATTAAAATTTAGCGGATTCTAATTTACCGGTTTCTAATGCTCATTGGTTTATGATGAAGAAACAACGTATTTTTCCCAGATAATGCCCAGAAATGGTATTATAGCTCGGTTGCTTATTCTTGCCTTGCTTTTTATATTGTCATTGATTTTAATTGCTTTATTTACAAAACCACCTCGACTGCAAAACAAGGAACTTCGTTATATCTTTCTACAGAATAGTTGGAAAGGTCACAATCGGGATCGTAATAGTAATAACAACATACTGAAAATAAAGGACCTAACACAGTCGCAAAATTGCTCTCCAGCTTATACAGAAAAGAATCCCGTTATCAATTCAACCTCAATTCTTACCCCAGCACCTTCTTCAAGCATACCGCTGCTTCATTTCGTCCCAGCAGCTCTTTTTGCAGGCTATCTCTTTTATATTAAAAATGGAGCTATACAGCAATCAAGATTTTTCAATCTGATTGAGAAGACTCTTTACTCGATTCGATTTTATAGAAATCACAAAACCATAATATTGCTTTGTTTGGGGACCATTGCCCTGCTATTCCTTCAAACCATACTCAAGTTTTTTTTGCACGTTATCTATGGTTTTGGCATTGCATATTCAACAGTAATCTCATTAATGGGAACTATTCTAGGAAGGAAATAAAATAAAGCATCGTAAATTTTATGTAAAGAATCAAGAAAATTACAACTTGTCCAAATAGCGATCCAAGGCCGGGATATCTTCAGAAAGTCCCTTTCGACGACGGATCTCCTTGACAATGACCGAAATCTTCGAGTTGGCCTCCAAGGGACTTCCAGGAAATTGCTGCCAGTGATCAAACACACACTGGGGAAAAGCTTGGCCGGCAGTGTGAGAACGAAGATCTGCAGTAAATCCAAAGGATTCGTTAACCGGCATAAATGCTTTAATGGAGAAGAGGGGAGTTCCAGGGCGCTGTTCCTCAAAAAATACGTGTCCACGGCGACGATTGAGGACGCCATAAATACCACCCATGGCAGTCTGGGGACATTGGATTTCAACAAGATAAACAGGCTCCATGATAGCAGGCTTTCCCATCAAAGAAGCAGCATAAATTGCGCGACGCATAGTGGGGACAATCTGTCCTGCTCCGCGATGAATGGAATCAGCATGCATAGTGACATCAATCAAATTGAAGCGACAGCCTCTGAGATTCTCTTCACACAAAACACCTTCCTTTGTGGCTCCCTGGAAGGCAGAAGTACATGAATCCTTGATTTCATTGAGGTATTGAACACCTTTTGTCATGTCAACCAATACATTTGGGCCAACTGCTTCAGGACCGAAGGACCAAATTTTACGGGCATCCTCAACTTGCCAATTATAAGTTTCAGAAAGGTAGCGAGCGCGAATCTTAAAATCGTCTTTTGAGGTAACTCTCTTGGCATCGATGTCTATGCAAAGCTCATTGTCGATTGGTTCAGCAGTTAGATAGATTCTGTTGTGTGCATTGGGAGACTTTGAAAGAGCAACAGCCGAGAGGGCAGTAACGGTTTCACGATAAGAAACAACAGGGGGAGAAACCTTTATCGCGACACAGGCATGATCCTCTTCCAAATCCTTTAAGCAAATCTCAAGATGTAGTTCTCCTGCGCCGGCGACAATGTGTTCTCCAGATTCATTTGTTATGCATTGCACACACGGATCAGACTTGGAAAGGCGCTTAAGACCCTCAACAAGTTTTGGCAAATCATTTGTATTCTTCACATCAACGGCAACTTGAACAACGGGGGAGACAGAAAACTTCATGACCTTGAGGTTGTAGGCAGTCTCGGACGTGGTGATCGTTCCAGATTTAAGAAGATATTGGTCAATACCAACAAGACCGACAATGTTTCCGGCGGGACAGTCCTCGATTGGCTCGACTTTGGAGGCCATCATGAGGACGGTGCGCTGAATACTCTTTAAGAACAGATCATCTTTTTTACCGGGCTCGTAATTTGGGCCTTGAATGCGAACCTTCATGCCAGAAGCAACTTTTCCAGAAAACACGCGACCAAAAGCGAAAAACCTTCCCTTGTCAGAAGTGGGAACCATTTTGGAGACGTACAACATCAGGGGACCATTTGGATCGCAGTTGGCAATAGCCTTTGCACACTCATCATCTTGCGGTCCCTCATACAAAATCTCAGAACGATACTTTTGGGCAGTAAGAGGCGAGGGCAAATGGATGATCATCATTCCAAGAAGAGCGTCAGCAGCGGGGAAGCATTTTCTCATAACCGTCTTTAAAAGCTCCTTTCCTTGCATTTCCGATTCATCAGGAGTCAGAGTAGCGTTAAGCTTAGCCATCATGTCAACAATGGCTTCTTTGCTGCCGTTTTTTACGCTTTCGAAGATCTTGTAGATGGGTTCCAAAACGAACATACAAAATCCACGTTGTAGGGGCTTGCCATCTTCATCGACGCCATTTTTGGTCCATTTACGGGTCTTTGGGTTATAATAATTGTCACCCCAAAGACGTTCCATCATTTTCTCCTTATCGACACCAAACTTTTTAGAATAGAGCTCTGCGAATTGAAGAAGAGTAAATGCCCATCCGTGGAGACCAGATCCAAAAGCGATGTTTCCTTTGTCCGGGTACAACTGACAGTCTCCAAGAGCAGCATCATTGTAGGTGGAAACAATGACATTGACACTTTCAATAACACGGAGGAATGTTTGGTAAAGTTCTTCTGGTGGCAGCTGGAGCTCCAAGAGTGCGCGATCGACCTTGTTAATGATGAGTACTGGTTTGATACGTTCAGTAAGAGCTTGTCTTAAAACGGTTTCAGTCTGCACACACACACCTTCAACGGTATCTACAACCACCAAGGCACCGTCGGTTACACGAAGAGCAGCCGTAACTTCAGAAGAGAAATCTACGTGCCCTGGAGAATCGATAAGGTTGATTAAGAAATCTCTGCCGTCAGTAACTTGCTTTACATCGGACATGAAAGCTTCGGAAAGCTCAAAATACAAAGAGATAGCTGTGCTTTTAATGGTAATACCACGTTCCTGTTCATCGGCACGAGTATCAGTGGCACGGGCGTCTCCAGCTTTCTGTAAGGAAATGATTCCAGCTTTCATGAGAAGAGAATCGGTAAGGGTGGACTTTCCATGATCAACATGGGCAATGACGGACATGTTTCTGATGTTTGTCCTCTTGTCCATTAGGGCACGAATTTGATCGATTGTGAAATTAACCTAAAATCCATAAGAATTTGTTATAAAGAGGGAGCAAAGTGAAAACAAATGCAAAGATGATAACCTACCATGCTTAAAAGTAATGGATGAAATGTATGAACGAAATTAAAAGAAAGTTCCTGTTAAATGCCTTCGTGCGAATAGCAAGGAACTAGGGTTAGTATGAATATGCAATTTAAAGTCAACAATTTGGGCCATCTTTTCAAGTTGCCTAATAAAGCCAAATTGGGCCGTCTTTTGAAGTTGTCTACTAGCGTCAATTTGGCGCATATTTTCATATACGCGTATATTTCGCAAACATGATATGCTAATCCTTTAGATACCTTTTTAATACACCGTATTTTGCGTAACACATGCACCAAAGTAGATGGTGAACCTTTTTTATTGATTAATAAATTATCCAGCTCAATTTTATTTTTCCCTAATGTCCATCTATTTAAAGTCTATTTCGAGAGCATTCTATGCAGGTGTCCCCGCAAGTTCTTCAGTTACAAATCTGAATGCATGTAGCCGCAAGGTAATTTATGAAAAGACCGTTTCGAACCTTGCAATAAATTCCTCAACTAGGGTTATTTGCCAAGGCTTTACGGGCAAACAGGTAGATTTGGCCAATATACGTTTAGGGCACCTTCCATTCGGAACAATCTCTTTCGTACGGTACTAAGCTTGTCGGCGGTGTTTCACCATCAAAAGCTGGAACTATTCATCTTGGACTTCCTGTGTATGGCACCGTTTTGGAGGCTAAAAAATACCTAAATCCAGACGCCACAGTAATATATGTGCCTCCCTCCGGTGCTATGTCCGCCATTGTTGAGGCCATTGAGGCAGAAATACCTTTAATTGTTGCAATCACTGAAGGAATTCCCCAGCAAGACATGGTTAGGATCTGGAAAATCTTGCGAGAACAAGGGGCCTCAAGGCTTCTTGGTCCGAATTGTCCGGGAGTCATTAAGCCAGGAGAGTGCAAAATCGGCATTATGCCAGGGTTTATTCATAAAAAAGGCTCTGTAGGTAAGTGTGAATCCTTTCAATCAAAATTAGGCATTGTTTCCAGATCCGGCACCTTAACCTATGAAGCTGTCGCCCAAACAACTCAGGTTGGCCTGGGACAATCTTTATGCATTGGAATTGGCGGAGACCCTTTCAATGGAACGTCCTTTGTTGATTGTTTAAAGCTATTTCTGGATGACCCAGAAACTAAAGGTTTGAATTCTCATGCTTAAGAGTAGGAATTGTCCTGATTGGTGAAATCGGAGGATCAGCCGAGGAAGAAGCAGCTGAATATTTAAAAAAGTTCAACTTTTCTCGACCAAATGCAAAACCTATCGTATCTTTTATTGCGGGACAAACAGCGCCCCCAGGTAGACGCATGGGTATCAGATGGTTGCTTTTTTTAGGGCATGCCGGGGCCATAATCTCTGGCGGGAAAGGTGGTGCTGTAGAAAAAATTGCCGCTTTGGAATCGGTGGGTGTTATTGTTGCCAAATCTCCTGCAATCATTGGGGAGTTGATGGCAAGGGAGATGGGCAAAAATTCGTCAAAAATTTAAATAAATAGAGCATTTTGGCTTTTTTGTACAAACATCTGCAATGGACGGCAACAAGGAGCACGCGCCACAGAAACTCAAATATTCACGAGCACAAATTATAACTTCAGGCTTAGATCCGGAAACCACATATTATGATAAAAGCGGAAACATTATTTATGAGCCGGAAGGTAGGAAAGACCACATACATTAGCCATAGACAAGGACAGGGACTTGGGTGATTTGCTTCAATCTTCAAAATTAGAATAAAATTTTAATTTACAAACTTTTAATTTTTGCAATGGTCCAAAATAGCGAACTTAAGATTACTGGATTATTTAATGCACTTAATGTTCGCGCTGTTAAGCCGGTGAAACAGTTGGAAGCGTGTAAGAAATTGGTTGAATTGCTTATAAACAACCAGATTGACTTTATAAAGCAAAAAGGGTACCAAGATCTTAGTGCATTTGAAGATTCCCCCATTTATAAAACATTCTACGAATGGTCTTCAACCCCTCTTCTGGACTCATCAAAGCTGCACGAGTATGCACTTGAAAAACATCAATCATGGGATGAAGTGGCATGTCCTGATTTAATATACGGACTGTCTCGGCTTGTTTCTGGATTGGCCTCTAATCATTCTCAGGTCAGATCTTCTTTTGCTACATGCCTTACGGCTGTCCTGCGAAAAATTCCGCATTATATTCCTCTTCGTGTTATTATGTACGCAATGTTTTTTAAGCTTGGCGTGTCTCCCTTAGGACCCCATGAGACCAATAATTCACACGATTGGCTGCTTGGGAGAATTTGCTTGCTGGTCAGTTGCATTAGAGCAAAGTTATTCAGTGAAATTAGTAATCCTTCCCTGTTAAAAGCATTGTTATCCCACATTCTTTATGAATGCATGCCTGCTAAGTCATACCTTAGCCTTGGCTTTGCTAATGTTTTTGTTGACATCATACTTCAAGTGCCGTTTGATTTTCTTAAAGAACCTTCATTTACAGATCTTCTTTTCGCGACGGAAATCAAAACTCTTGATCATTTTTATGTTATACTCGCGTCGTTCTCGATATTTTCTAAAAAAAACCAAGCTTTTCCGTCACAAACGGTATTGATACAAGCATGTATGGATGAAGCTATTTATGGTTCAATTGGGTTTCACAGGGATACCCCGCAGATACATCCAATATTTAAGTACCTAATTAGCTTTTTGCTTTCTACGTCAATTGATATTTTTCGCTCTTTTTGGGAAAAGATTATTCTTTCAGACTTTATTCTATCAAAAAGTCATGGTAAAAATTTTTCTGCGCTTCATATTACTTTGCACATTATGGAAGATTGTTGTCGCCTCTCTTCTGAAAGGGCTTCTGAAGTGATTTCCATCTGTTGGGGATTAAAAGGCAAAGCCCAAAAGCATCACAATTTGCTGCACCGGTTATTTAGGGAAACGATCTCGTTTAAAGAGTCTGTTTTAAAAGCCGTAGCCACTGAAATTCTTGCCAGCATATTTTTGATGGCTGAAAAACTGCCAAAGGATGCCTGTAGGACCTTTACATTAGCAATGGAGCAAAATCGAACCTTTTGGACCATTCAACCATCTGCTGCCTCTAAACTATGGAAATCTCTTTTTACCAACCTTCTAATTACTTCATCTTCCTCTGATGATTTGTCACAATTGATTAACGGGCTTTTGTTGGATTTAGATTCGGAAAAGATCATCCTTAATGAACTCAACCACAAACTCAAGTTTATATTTGGGTTTCTCATACAGAACAAAAAGTCTCTAGAAAAATCTTCACTGCACAGTCTCATTATGGAGCTTTGGAATTGTATCCTAAAAGTCCTTTCTCACAATTCAATTGAAGTTGAAGCAAAATATGAATGTTTCAATCGATTTAAGCAGCTTCTTTCATCCGTTTTTCTTCTAAGCTCAATGTCTCATAAAAGCTTGGAATATTGTTCTTCTGAAAAGGAGCTTCTCATTAACATTGGCTTGATAAATTCCTTGAATGCCTGCTTGTTAAAGTCGTTTGATTCCTTATCTACCATTAAACTGAAGAAGATCCACGTCCCATTGACTTCATCCAAATTGCTTTCAATCAGCCTTTTCAACTCGTGTCTTAAGCTATTATATTATGTTTCGGTTGCTCTTTACCCGTCCAGAGACCATCAACAGCTATTTGATATGATCAATGACCTTGCTTCGTTGTTAAATAATTCCGAGTCAAAAAAGATAGATCAATTACGGATTCCATTGGTTGACCAATTAGTTGATATAGTACTGGCCTCGCTGTCGATCGAATTTTCGCTCCTTGAAGGACCGATATATGTTACAATTATCTGCTGGAAAGAAAACTTTGCTGCTAGTTCTGTTGATCTTTTGGTCCAAGCCTTGACAAGCCCTCTAGACGAAATTGAAGACGAATATAGTGATGGAGAAAATTTTGATAGCGACAATTATGATGATGCTGTTTCGGAGGGCCTTAACTCGGATGACTATACGGACCAAAATGTGCCTGTTGACAATTCATCCTCACCATCCATCGTTAGTAACAGTCCTTTTCTAACCGTATTGCCTGTCAACAGTTCTTTTGGGGGGTCCGAGTGCTCAGATATCCCTTTAGAGTCGATTTCAGACGAACAGATGGAAATATTTGATGCATCGTTGAAAAACATTTCCTTTTTGCTACGTAAAAATTCTAATGAGAAGCAATTGCTTAAAAAATCACTCGCTTTTTATTCCAGAGTGTTTTCGATTTTGTCGTTTGTGTTAAATTATTGCTCAAGTGAGGTTTTTGCAACCTTTCTGGAGACCATTCCACTAATACACGCTTGGCTTGGTTCTCTTTCTAAATTTTCTAAAGATACCTCTATCGTTGAATTTAAAAAACGGATTCTTTCGCAAATTGCCAAATGGAAGCCTAAAGCTAAATAATTGCTTAAACAGTTTAATAATAAATTATTTTTCAATAATGAATCTCAACATAAAGGTGACGGTAAGGATCATTGTTATATTGGCGCTGTCGTGATATTTGCAGCTAATAACTTACAAAACCCGGATTTATGGTCAAATGTTAAAGCCCAACTGCGTAGTGCATGGATTGACTGTTTGATGCCAAATTACTTCAAGATTCTTGACTTTCATGAGCTTAAATGTCAATTTCTCTGCTTCAGTAACTTTTTTATCGAGCTTTTGCTTTTCTCCATAAATTTCTGCTGTTCAGATCTGGGAAATATATACAAACCGTGCAAAAAATCATATAAAAGTTGATTATATTTGGAATAAATAATTCATTCCAGAAATCATATGTGACAATCGCTTGCAAATTCTCGAGAATTAAAAGCACCCCAGAATTTTTCTGAAAAGAACGATACAATAGAATATTATTAAGGATCATTTAATTCCTATTTTTCTTGAACATTTGTGCAAAGCATGCATGCCATTTCAATATCAACCCATTTCTTTGGATTCTTGATGATCCAGAATAAACAGCAAACACAGCTCTATCTACTGCTAAGAGGGAAGGGTGCATCTGAGATCGATATAAAAGTTTCATAA